CTCGTCCTTTGAGTACACTATGAATTTTAACTGCAGGCCCATAATAATCCGATTCTGAAGTATCATCAACTTGGGTGGAAGGCATATGTGTATTTGTAACTATTATGTTAGGCGTAGGAGTGCTATGTATATCATCATCATCAGAATAAGAGTTAGGTACTTGATTGCTATGGTTTTCAAATTTTCGAAAACATACAGGGCAAGTATCACTGTATTTTAACCATTTGGATACACACGCGTTATGAAAAAAATGCCCACACGGCAAGAGATGTGGCCAGTCAAGTTCGATATTTAAGCATATAGCACAATTCATACCTATCTCATAGTTAGCGACAGAGTTCCGCGATATTTCTTCTTCGATGAATGAATTGTCAATTGTACGGGGTGCACGGGTTCTCCGCTTCGGTTTGATTCGTTTCGTATTTGTAGTCTCCACCATTTCGGAAATCTCATTCCTTGGTCGACGGTTCGAATCCCGAATTTCAAAGCGACTTGGACGTCCGCAACTCATCATGATGTGAAGTTCTGTGTTAAGGCTGAAAAAAATAATAAAAATGTAATGGATTTAGCTTTTTTTGATTTAAAAATACTTAAAATATAAATACAATTGTGGTTGACGAAACAAGGAACTCCCTAAGAAAATTTTTTTAGAAAAACTTTGAAATCTAGAATATATTCCGGATAAAATGCTTTCAGAAATATTTGAAAAATTGAGAATATGTTTTAAATAATACATTCGCATATTTTAATCAACAAACAGTTGTAAACATTGAAAAAAAATTGAATTTCTTAAAACTGTAGAGGAAGTTAAGAAACGGGGACTATGTCGTGGTTTTAGGAAAGTTTTTAAGAAAAATATATTTATTTGGAACGTGAGTTTTTTTCTCGAATATTATAACTGTTCTAAATAGCAAAAATAGTCCCCGTCGCGATTTCCTAATTCCTAAAATCAAAACATTTTTAAAGCATTTCTCCTTCAATATTAAATGGTCTTTTTCTTCTAAACAATCAAAATTTATAATANAAAAAGTGAACACGAAACATTTATCTAACAGTAAAAAGAAAATTGGAAACCAAAATGTAGTTACATTTAAAATGGTTAACACAAAATTTACCCTTTTCTAATAATTACATTTAAATTTTCCTCTACTGTGATGAGTCATTCAGATCCATTTTTTAGGGTCATTTTTCAGTACGTTCCAAATTCAGGACGTAATTTTTGAGTTCGATAAGAATGATATTACATAAAAAGTTTTATTTATGTAATATTTAAAATGAGTTATTAATGTTCTTAACCTCTCGATTAAAACACTCAGGGTTTCCAATAGCTATCTGCCTTTATTTCTATACTTTTTTTGATTTTTGACTCGAAACAATATGTAAACAATATGTAAACAATATAAATAAATAATATAAATAA